CTCCAGAAAGTTGTACCAGGAAAAGAAAACAGTTCTATCTATCTAATGACTTCCCTAAACATCTCATCAGTGGATAATACCATAGGAAACTTATGGACCCTCCACCTCTAAGATGAATAAAATTTCAGCATCAATTCATCAAAAAAAAAATACCAGAGGAAACTTAACTAAAAAACGAGTAGTGTGCAAATGTGCCCTATAATGCTATAGTAGCCACTGTTCTTAAGTGTTGCATCAAGCATAACTAGTGTAATTCACCCTTGTGACATGGCTCATCCAAGTGAAGCTAATTCACCAACCCCTCTTATGAACAAAGATTATCCGACTTCCAATTCTAGTTCAAAATCTCAGCAATTCCTAATCCCTATTAACAGTTATCCTCTCAAAACTAATCTTGCATACCAGAATTTTACTGCACTGCGTACAAACTAAACCATATACATAGATAAAACCACTGCAACGAAAGTGAAGATTTTCACCGATGAAATGACAACTGAAGAAAACTGGAGGAATAAATCATACGTCATGCAGGGTTGAAGACAAGATAGCCAAACAGACCTGGATGCTGGAAACCTCTGTGCTAGATTGGCTGAATAGCGTCCTACTTGTACAGATGGTTTGCTCAATTGTTGCTACTGCTGCTGTGACGATGACAAAAAATAATGGAAACTCGAAGTCGGATAAACATGTCGATGATAAAGAAGCACATCTGTTGATTAGTGAAATCCGTTGTGATTAAAATTAGTAACTGAAGAAGAGCAGAAACCAGTGGTTCTGCAGGTAAACAGAGAGGCCAAAAGTGCAACAGGGTTCACGCTTTGTGGAAACTTGCATTCATATTTCTACAGAACTGAGCAGAGACATTGACAAGCAACACGGACAATTACAAACCCTTGGTCTGCCTCTCTCTATATCTCTCTCTCTGATCAGTCGCAACTGGCACCCTTATGCGAGCACAGGAAACACCAGATTTTCTAACCTAGAAGCTTGGATAAAGAACAATCTCCCAAAACCGGAAGCTCAAAACAAACAGAGTCAGGAAAAAACAAGAATGCGCATGACCTAACAACGCCTATAAAATATTTGGGAGCTGAGAATCCAATCTTTGCTGCAACTCCTTGATCTTCATCGAAAGCTCTGACTTCTGCTCTTTGTAATTCTGCAACAAGTATTCCTTCCCTTCTAACACTTCCTTCAATTCCCCTACTTCCCTCCTAAGCATCTCGACCTTCTCCACATCCATCCTCCCTTTCTCTGGAAACTCAAAGGTACTTTCACCATCTGAATACCCATTAGCATGCCCATTTCTTACCTCAGGTGGCCATACAGTGACAACTGACGGTTTTCCATCACCGTTTGCATGTTTCAAACAATGATCGGCAATGGCTTTTCTCAGCCTCTGGATTTCTCTCTCCGAATCTAACAAATCCTTGTTAGCAACATCAAGTTGAGACTGCAAATTATTAGAAATTCCCAATTGAGCATTGACTGAATTCTGCAACTCCACAATCTGATCCTGCATCTCAATTATCATGTCATCCCTTCTTTTTAGTTGCTGTCTCAGCTTTTGTATCACTTCGCGCTTGCTAAATATGTCCGAACCAGACTCAGACACACATGGTGAGTCAGAGCAGTTTGAATGGTGAAATGGCTTTGGCGGTAACTCGAGACGTTCAAGAGATGAAACCCACATAATCCCATTCTCTCTTGAGTATTCTGGGGCATTGACTGTGACCAAAGGGAGTGCACCATCGGTTTCAGACAGCGTGTGATCATTGGGAGGGTATTTTACATCTGTGGTACCTTCATTCCCTGTCTCGAACACAAACCACGAGACAAAGGCTGAATGAAAATATTTCAAATAAACGCACAGGTGTCAAAGCATATCAGTGATTCACATAGACGAAATAGGAAGACGTTTCTGAATATTCCTCAAAAGATATATATCATGAGAAGCAGTAGCAAATATTTTGATGCGACGCAGCATGGAATATTTTGGGTTACTTCCTCAATACAAGACCAGAACCATAAATTGAAAAATGAAAAAAAAGTTATCCATACCGGAAGCAGAATTGAAATAACTATCATCATCATGTGTAAAGGAGTAGACATTCGGATGCATATGGCAAGCTGATGATCTCCTTCTGTCAGACAATTTCTCATTTCCTGAATTGCAGAAATTCAAGGTTAAGCGGTCACAACAGAGGGAACAAATTTATAACATGCATTAACAAGAGCACGGTAGACCATTACTAGCATTTGTTTCTCTCCTAGAATCAAGAGTCTGCTTCAGCTTAGAGCCAAGGCGGATTGTCAAAGTACTCAACAAGGCACCACCTGCAATGAGAATCCAATTTGGTCCTCCACCTTCAAACCTTTGCTCCCTCTGACTCCTAGAAACCCCATTTGATCTTGGTCTCATTTTAATAATAAGTTAAGCTGCAAGGTAACTTTTCCAATCATCCAAATAAGACCTACATAAAAAAAAATGGAGCTTTCAGACTTCATTACCCAAGCAGGATACTTTCCAAAAAACAAAAACCCCAAGCAAGATATGATTGTTGATTTGTTCCGTGCATATAGAACTTTTATTACAACAGGCTGAACCAGTAAACTTAGTATCGAGCATTGTGGCCATCAGTAAATGAAGAACACTGCCAAAAGCCTTTCCAGGGCCGACCTTTCCAACAGCTTCCCCAAACATGAAAACCGAAAATGGACACTCGCCCAGAAAAAAAATATGGACGATATCAGCTGAATCGGTGACATTAGACCTTACTGAAACATCTGAATCGCAATAATCATTTTCAACGAGTGCGAACTCCTAAAGAAACGAACCAAGAGCTGCTTAATTTTTTACCCCATTAGGCGATTAATCAAACAAACAACCCAGGTTCTGCCTAATACAAATGGGGCAGGTTCCCCGGCGACTGATTTCTACTGACAGCGGAAACACATAGGATTACGGCAAGGAGTGAAATGAGTTTCGGTACCTTACACCTCCGACATTGAAACACGGCAGTGACGGCGGACTAGGCTTTGACTACTTCTGCGGCAGTGAAGGCAGTTGAAGATCGGGCGAGAACAAGGAAATGGAATGGGATGGAATGAGTCTGAAGCGTGAGTGAGACGACTTTCCAGGGCGACGGAAAGAGAGCGATGGCAGCCTGGCAGAGCGAAATTCCAGCGAGACTACGACGAATTGACGAAAAGGATGAAAGATGCCGGCTGATGGCTTGGTTTTGGGAAGGCGGCGGCGGCGCTGTGATGGCGACGTCACCGCCGGCGAGTGGAGGATGGCGACGGCGACGGAAGGCGGGGCCAGGGAGGATGGGGAAGTGTTCGTGGCGAAAGAGTGGCTGAGTAATAAATGGAGAAGCTGCCGCAATTTGAGAAACGAACTAGGTTTTCTATTTTCTTTTACTCCTATTTCTAATTTTCTTAAATTCCTTTCTTATATTTATGCTTTGGAAAGGTTTACAAAAAGAAGACAAAATAGATAAATCATATAAATAATAACGGGTAAATGACACATTTGGTCACTGAGATTATTAAATTGTGTCATGTTTAGTCACTAGAAAAAATTAATATCAATTTTGGTCACTCGAATTACCGAAACTGGTCAAATTTAGTCACTCTCCCGTCAGTTTCCGTCCAACTCCATTAATGTAGTTGAACGGAAACTTTTGGGAGAGTGACTAAATGTGACATGTTTCAGTAATACGAGTGACTAAATGTGACATTTTTCAATAATTCGAGTGACCGGAGTTGGACAGAGGCTACAGAAGAGTGACCAAATATGACCTGTGTCAGTAATTCGAGTGACCAAAATTGATATTAAATTTTTCTAGTGACTAAATATGACACGATTTAGTAATCTCGGTGACCAAATGTGTCATTTACCCAAATAATAACGGTATTGAATCTGGCATCCGTATTCCGCAGTCGTTTGTTTTTTTGGCTAAATCATTTGTCCCCGTCTCCCCGTCAATAGCGATAGCAATGAGGCGGATTAGGGGATGGGTTTGCCTATACCATTCTCATCCGCTCTTTTAAAATCTGTCTCATATTCGCCTTATACCCATGTGCAATGGTGGATCCAGTGGATGGCTATCTGATCTCGAGCCACATCTTAGCCCTTTTCTGAATGTGGTCTAGTATAACACTTAAAAAATTTGATTTTAGTCATTCGGTTCATATCAACATATTCAAATCACTACTCAAAACCTATAGTTGTATAAATAGTATCAAGAGAACAAGCACGCAGGAAAAAGATAACCATTAGCATTGAAGTCAATCACCACCTATATCATACATACGAAAGCGAGAGTGGGGCACTAGAACTTGGTTCCCCAACCTCAACGATCCTATCCAGCTCTCACACTCAAAATAAGAAAAGAGGAATTCTGACCTTAAAGTCTTCGATTAGTATTAGTGAACGCTCGCTCGACTTGCTTACTAATATAATAATTTTACTTGTGAATTTAGAGAAATAAATTGAGAGAAATTCTAGCCCTAATGATTTTCCTTTGAGCAAAATAAACAATAAACCTAAAAGTTTAAAACGTAAAAGACTACAAAAAAATATGAGATTTGTTTCGTTGCAAATTATTAGAGAATCTGGTGGAAATAGGGATGGACGTACACTACAAATTGATTCGTCTATGTTGACATTGCCTTTTACAATAGCTACTACGAGAAACTTTTTCAACAATAAAACATGTGAAATTGATTAGTGCAACAAAATGAGTTGCAGCAAATGCACCCAACTTGCACCTCCTGCGAATATCAAAACCTTGCATATGAATGAGCTTTCCATTTCATATCACATTTCTTATTCTCCAATTATCGATTTAATCAAGGTTTGGGTAGTCGAAAACTCTAACGACAATAAGATTTGAACATATTGATCATGTAACTACATTTTCTCCACAACTCATCGATGCTCCAAGGACTTCTAAATCGAGTATATGCTTCTGGTTTTGCAAGCAGTTTCATAAGATCAGTTTTGCTTGTCTATATTTTTTTATCAATTCGAATGATTAAAACCAATGTCTAGGTGCAAATTTATACAAGATCAAGCATGTAATAAAACTGTACAAGTTCCGCCACCGAATCCAACCCCAGTTTGGGTCGAAATTCAAGGTATGGGTGGTCTCTGTTTCGTATCAACTCAAGGCCGCAACCATTCTCCATGGCAGGCTCTACCTATCAGTGAACCAGAAAAAGAAATGAGGAAGCTTCACCAGTAAACCCAACTGCCTCTCTTCTGTTATCAACTGTTACTTTGCTGCTACCCTACTTTTTACCCAACCTTTACTTTCTCATTCCCTATACTCCCCAAGGAACATCTGTCATGACTATGAACACTAGAAACAAAATGGTCAATCAGCAAAACGCCATCTGATGCTTTCCTCCTAAGCGGATTCATATCGAGAATGCAGAGCGCACTTCACCACCTCGTAGAACGCGACCACAATGCCAACGTTCTCATTCCTCCATCCCTGTTCATCCATATGAAGCATGATTAGTAACAAGTTACTGCTACCAAGGCCAAGATAAAGGCTCCATGAATTTAGAATGGGAAGTTACCTCCAAATCTCCATTAGCGTTCGCCGAGTTGTCATACTTAGTGCCCTTACAGGATCCATCTGGAAGTCGAGACAACAAGAAAAAGACAACTTATTTTACTGTCAAATCTGAGAAACTACACAATGTAAGCCTCTACTCTGTTGAATCATGAAAACCTTGGAAGATAGCACACTAACCTCTATCTGCCTTCGAGTTTTAGCAACATCCAGGGGACACGTTGCAGCTGCACCAACACTTCCTTCGATGAAACCAGCGGAGAAGTTGGCTCCATGTACACTGGCCACATTCGCGTCATCTCCAACCACACTCAGAAGATTTATCCTCATCTGTGAGGCCAAACGAACGGAAGGGAAGTCAAAAAAGATTTCCCAGCCAAACATACATAAAGGTTAATCACAATCAATTAGCGAAAAACTACTACTAACACGTTCTTTATACGAAAAGGAAAAGGAGATGTGCTCACAGGCTCAAGTAGTGCCGAACAAATTCCAGAAAATGGAACGTCAAGGGCAAGCTGTGCTCCCATGCCTGTCCACAGTAGCCGGTAACCTCTCCCTATTGCAAGAGAGCATGTCAATTAAAATCATATAACTTCCCATCCACCAGACACTATTCTTTTACAGTGAATTAAAACCATATAACTTTCAAATCAATAGAAGCTTAAAAATTCAACAAAATCATACTCACAATTAGTTTGAGGGTTATCCGTGCCTTGCACATGAGTAAGGGCTTCAAGTAGAGTATTCAGAACTCCAGGAGCTTTCATACCATGTTGTGTACCCTTGAATGCCTATGATTTGAATCAAAGAAAACAATAAGAGAAAAGCCATGAACGTCCCAGCTAGGAAAACCAAAAGGGAAGTGAGTGAGAGACAGAAAGAGAGCCATTAGATAGAGGGGATCAAAGGAACCAAACTTCACTGCTGGATATAACGCAACCAAAACAGAGTCTTAAAATACCTGCATGCGAGTTCTGGCAAGTTCAACAGGATAGCAAGTCATACAAGCTAATGAAGGTGACAGTGAGCCAGCTACCAAGGGAGCATATGGGGCTGCAGCAGGAATACTCTCAGAGGTTTTTTCCTCGAGCCAGATGCGGAATACATCATATAAGAGTAAGTAAATGCCGACCTGCAAAAAACAGGATGTGAACCACCATAAGCTTAAAGCTACACTTCCAAGAGTGCCAACATCCAAAAAAACAAAGCATTTGTCATACTTGCACTGATCAGGAGAAACTTACAGTTGGGACAGCTAGAGGAAGAGCCGCATTTGTGCCCTTCCACAGCCTGGCAAACCCTACCTGCAAGTATCACCTTTTTTGTTCAACAATTGGTGTTCGATCAATATAAAAAAAAAACAAATGCAAGAATGGATAAACACACACCACTTTCACATCATTGAATGCAAATAGTAACACCGATGACACACCTGTCTTACCATCTTGTTGAAGACATAGAAGGTTCCTTTGTACCGAAAACAATCAGGAGGCCACATGGACAGTGTCCCGTGAAGTCCAGCACGCTTACAAGATGGTGAGCATCTAAGATCAGCAAACAACTGCCAAACAAGGCTGAATGTCACTCAATGGAGCATTCTGAACAAGAAATTATGATTGACAGAAGCAATTGGAGCAAAAAAAGTAGAAGATATATCTACCATGGTTGGACCAAAGTAAGCCAGGCAATTTACAACATTACTGAGTGGATGAGAGTAAGCAACTCCAGCTGGCTGTGCTTGCAGCCTCGTCTGTTCAATGGAACAATAAGAAAGCCCCCATCAATGCAATCAACTCCTGTATTCTTCCAAACTATCTCCACTTAAAACTACTATGCTATATGAAACGAAATCCCCAAATCAAGAAAACCCACCAAGAAGCATCAATCGCAACGAAAAAACCAGAAAACACACAACCCACGTAGCAAGAGGCTCAACCCGCCAATCCACAATATGAAGGATCAAAGATGTCGCAATTCTCCCCGGAAATCATTTTCCAATCTCAAGAACACGAAGAACCAAACAAGTCGTCGCATGTCGACGCCGTTATTCACAACGCCAAGAGGGTTTACTATAATCGACGATAGGATAGGAAAGCGGCCCCTGCCGCAGACAGGGCTCTCTCGCCAAGTCCTAAACTATCGTCGCCTTCACCGGTGTTGGTCTGATACCCTGCTGAGCCGAGAAGTTCCAAGGCCGCACGCCGTCGCCGGCGATCACCATTGGCTCCCTCTGCAATTCCAGAGCTGCTGTGATTCGGGGAATGGGGATCGGCTCTGCGTTCACCTATGGGTTCCGGCACCCCTCTACCTCGGGGCCCTTCGATAGCCAAAGAATCAAAGAAACGGCCTAACCAGTTGCGGGAAGGAGAAAGAAGGTTTCCACAGCAACAAAATACAAAACCCTACCCAAGAAACAATTCCAGATGACAAAGATGATTACCTCTCGGTTGCGAAAGAAGGTGGACCTACTGGCCGTCTCCTTGATTCCCGGCTGGAGCGGCCGCATTCTGCCCCTGAGGTGCTGCTGCTGGGTGGTACCCCTGGTGCACTCGGTACCGATGTACCTCGAGATCGGCCACCGACTCAAAGACAAAGAAGCACTTACTACAAACATTGCCTCTGGGATGTACTCGTTTGTGATGATCTTCAATCACTTTCTTTTTCTCAAAACCGCACTGGCAGAGGTTGCAATGGTAGCCGTCTGCCATTCCATGGAATTGCGTTCACCGGCGACCGGATGATGTGAGACTTAACGGATTACGGGAAGCCGGAGTGATAACTGCGATTTGGGAAGGTAATGTGGGAATAGAACTAGGCAACTACGCGATTATGTGATAACTGCGATGTGGGAAGGTAATGTGGGATTACTAGAACTCTACAATTAAAGTTCATTATCAACTAGCTTTCTTCCCGGCCGTTGGCCGGGTCGGTTACTTTTCTTATTACGAGGTTTTAGTGCCCGCGCTTTGCGCTGGGATGTGTGGGATTGTCAACATAATTTTAGGCAAAAATGTGTCTATGTACCTGACTATTAGCTGAGCTTAATGGGTTAGTACGATTTTAGTGGTGAATGAAGTTGTATTCTCAGCGATATATGATTTTCACATTTTTATTTTCATATTCACATAACTATAGTAGATTGTGTTATTTTCTTTGTATTTCAGAGTCTACATCAATGTATGTTTTCCCAAGCAGTCTTCATAAGTTAATCTAACAGAGAATGCTGTACCTGAAAATGGTTTTATATTGGTTAGAAATAGTGCAATTTTAGTCATGGTTCGATCTAGCTGTTTTTTAATAAGTAGAGACAGTAAACTTGAGTGGTGATTCGATTAGTGAAAGGCACCATGGAGACTTAATTGATCCATTCCCAATTTCCCATAATGAACTAAGTTTGGCTGACAATTCAAGAGATTTACATGTCGTTGATTGGCCCAAGGGAAAGTGCAAAGCAGTATTGTTCTCTTCCAGATCGCGACAGTGAAATATAATACTGGTTGGAAAAATAATGTGGATTCATATGCCTTTATGGGCTTCCAACTTCGGCCCATTTGTGGCCATCGATATGTTTAGATCCAGGGGCTGATAAGTGAAACGGCGGCAGGCTTGGCGTTTACAACAAACACAATTTTGTTGAGAGTTGCAATTCAATGGATCAAAAGAGTTTTCTCAAACTTAATTTAATTAACTTCTGAAGAACATGAAGAACATCAAAGCTGTTCCCAGAATTTAAGATGGTGCTATATTTTCATCTTGTTTTCTTTTTACATCCAAACCTGTATAGCCGGCGGCGCAGTAGGAGGTGCTGGCGGACTGGAACTACCCACCACCGCCTCTATTTCAAATATGCTGATTCAAGCCTGCATTATACGAAACTTGAATTAATTAAAAGGTCATATAATGCTGTAAATCTATTGTCCTTATGATCTAACTGGAAATCGTATCTAATGAATTCTAACAGGTTATCTAACATATTGATATATGCTTACCTTGTGAATTCAATTTGTGCTAATATCCGTGAAGGCTTCTGAGAACACAATGTTTCTTGTATAATTATCTGGCATGTCCTCCTCATTTATGATAAGAAATCTTAGACCAGCTGCAGATCTGACTCTGGATGCAGCAACGTATAGTTGACCATGACTGAACACTGGTTTAGGTAGATAAACTCCAACTTTGTCAAGTGTTTGACCTTGACTTTTGTTTATGGTCATTCCATAACATAAGCGTACTGGAAATTGTCTCCTTTTCAGCACAAACGGCCACCTCTTGTCTTCAATGTTGAGCACAATTCGTGGTATCGCCACAGGTTTTGTATCAAATGATCCTCCCATAATGTGTCCTATGATTGTATTCTCACCGAGTGATGTTATCATTATTCTTGTTCCGTTGCATAATCCACTTGGTGGACTTAAATTTCTGAGCAACATTATTGGAGCATGAACCTTGAGCCTTATCTCGTGATCCGGGACCCCATTGAATGTCAATGTATTGAGAAACTCAGGAGGGTATGTTTCACTGAACGATTCTGGCACCTCTGTATCAAGTTGCATTGAATCTGCACTAAAGTAGGAATGACTTAGTCCAGGCAACTTTTGTAACATGAAATCATTGATTTCAGTGACAACAATATTTGTCGGTGTCACAATTGCTCTACTCTTGAGATATTTTGTGTCCTTGTAATTCTCCTCAAATGAGTTATATATGTCTGTTGTTATTGATTGAACTGGATTGTTTCCAGGAGCAATCAAGAACATCCTTGGTATTTCAATCCAATCTGAGGGGGCATTGAGTACTAAACACTTTGTAGGCAACTTTCCATCTCCAAGAGCTAGTATCCACTGTCCAAAATTCTGGCCACTACCTATCATCATTCTGTTTTCAAGGGATTCATTGAGTCTCATGTTTCTTTCTAGTTTCAGCACTGTAAAAGCAGGCCATAACACTGATCTAGTTATTGATCCATCAACTGTTTGTTCTCTTCCAGATTCTGTGATGACTGGCAAAGTCTGTCTGAAATCTCCACCAAAAATAACTGTTTTACCACCAAATAACTTATGGCCTGCTCCCACTAAAGGTACATTCATCAGATCACAGAATGTCCTACTGATTGCTTCAAATGCATGCCTGTGAGTCATCGGCGCCTCGTCCCAAACTATCAATGAAGCTTCACGTATGAGTTCAGCTAAGTGAGTTCCCTTTTTGATCGAACAGGTTGATGTGTTGTCTACATGAAGAGGTATTTTGAATCTTGAGTGAGCAGTGGTACCATTCGGCAAGAGAGTTGCTGCGATTCCAGATGAGGCATCAATAATTGCTATTTTTGACAAACTTTTTAGTTTTGCAATGATGGCATTATACAGGAATGTCTTACCTGTTCCTCCGTGGCCATATAAGAAATATGATTTTCCAAGATTGTTGTTGATTGATAGCATAACAGCTGAGAAAGCTTCAAACTGTTGTACATTGAGAGAATGCAGCATCGTGTCTGCTAGCTGTTTTTCGTTATCAACATCAAAGTCTAGATGCTGATTAATAAGGGGGTTTGATCCATCATCCGGTTCTGAATCTGTTGGTCTTGGAAGGTGGAATTGTTCCAATGACGAACCATGAGATCCCAGCAAACTCTCCAGCTGATGAAGAACCCAATTTTGCAGCCTCTCATCTGTGGGCTGATATGTTGTTGAATGGAGCTGTTTTCGAAGGGAATATGCATGATCTTCACTCATTAATTTCCATGATGACTCAAACAAAGCACATGGATTAGGTACCTCACAAAACATAAGCATTGAAACAAAGGTTGTTCTTATCACGTGTGGCATGCTTGAAGCTGAGATTTCTTGGAGGACTTTTATCCACTCTGAAGAGTCAGAGAGCAGACCTAATTTCTCACATGCTTTCTCATAAGTGCTGCAAATCTCTCCTCTCACAGTTCTCAAAGCAAGAAAACTCATGGCTCCGTGCACTTTTGTCAATAACAACCTGAGAAAGAATACATCGCTGCTGCCCGGAGGAACATATGCAATTCTTCCTATAGCAAACCCTCTTTTTCTTGGAGTCCACTCATTGTATTCTTCATTCCATGTATATGAACCTGGTATTTGAGCATATGTAAGCTTTCTCGCATCAGGGTCATGGCTATTCAGTTCAAACCAAGCAGTTAGATGAGTTTTTCCAGCTTTTGGATTCTTTAGAACATTTCTAACATTTGACTGTCTTCGATATGATACATTTTGCTGTCCAGGTAGGTGTACAGCAAGGCGAACAACGTTTGGTTCCCTGTGGTGAATAGGGTACTCGTTAATCCTCCATACAGCCTCATAAGAAGATAGTGATCTGCAATCAATGAATTCCTGTATTTCATCCTTTCTTTTCTTTGGATTTGTGGATGGAACTTGTGCTGAAGTAGTCGAATCCTCGGCAATGATGAGAGATCTGTCCGGTCCCTTAGTGATATACTTAAACAAATACTTCACTAATCCCCCTTTATGACATACTTCGACATTAATATGAGCTTGAGCTCTGACTAATAAGTTCCGGTTGTATGGAACAACGTACCTATTATCCACCATTGTTTTCCCTTTCTGTACTTGAATTCCTGAATCTCTGCGTCGATACACCACATTCCCGAACTTATCAAAGGCGGTTTCTGAGCAGAATTCTTTGGGGAAGTGCTTTGAACATTTTCCGTCTTTCATACAGGGTGCATTCGGGTTGTCAATGCCACAGGGTCCATGAATCATGAACTTGACAACAGCTGCATGCCCCTCTGGATCTAGGTGAGGATCAGGGATTTCTGCTGAAATCATTTCGTCTATATCGCTTGTTGTCTTTAGTTTGTCTTCTGCTGCCAACCATATAAGCATGTGCACATGTGGGAGCCCTCTCTTCTGGAATTCTACTGTGTATATTACTGCTGCACAAAAAAATGGTCATTTATTTGAACTTGACAGCTTATAATGCAACCAGAAAAGAGTTCTCAGAGCACGTACTTGCTATAGTTTTGCCAAAGTATCCTTCTCTTTTGATTTCATCAATGAGCATGTTGAGTTTCATATGAAAGACTCGACAAACTACCATTGGTTTTAGCTCATTGCTTGTGCCCACGATATCGGAAAAGGCTTCTGTGATTTCTTCCCAAAGAGCGTTACATGTAAATGTAACAAACAAATCTGGATTTCCATAATATTGGCAGGTTGCCATTGCATCGTGATAGAGTTGTTGCATATATCTTGGGCCTCCTGTATACGAAGAAGGTATTATAATTCGGCCAATTTTTTCACCGTCTAAATCTCCTTTTGCAAATGCATCTTCCAATCCTTGATACACTTCAGCCCTCAAGTCTTTTTGATGTGTCCTCAAGAATGCCAACCGATTGAGCTCGATTGTTGAAAATGCATCAACGCAATAGTGCTGCAGCGCCTTCCCACTTTGGATCAGTGTATGTCCCTCATTTGTTCGATACTGAAGTCTGTAAGCGTAGTATTCTCTTTGTGTGACGAACTTTCTTCTCATTGATGGTGGACAAAAAACACTGTTATATGGAATTTGAGGATGAAATCCATCCTCCCCATATGGGAAAAGTAAAGGAAAGTGCAGCGCCTCAAACTTTGGATTAAGACTTGTAATACGTTTCAATCCTTCACCTTGATGGTCCACAATGATGTCTCGGTCCTCCCTATCTAGCACAAAATCACCTGGTATCAATGCTGCAATGTCACTGCTTGTCGGTAAGTCGTACTGTCTATTTCTGCTTTTGATTCCAAATATTCGAAGTCGAAGGTTTGGTGTTGAGGATAACTGCAGATTTTGTCGAATACGCCTAAACGTCTTCACCAATTCATTCGTTTCATCAAGCATTCTGAGCAAAGCAGCAAGTAATTCAGGCAAGAGCACTTCC